TTTTTTCAAAATTCACAAACACATAGAATGGAATATACGAACCACAGGTGCATCCCCAACTAATCTAGAAACTGAATTAGTATTTACAGAATTCATCGACAGTGCGTAATTTCCAAAACAGAATGCATTCCGGCAATTTAAACAAGTTCCCCCTAAAATAGTGAAACATTAGGCTGAACGAATGAAAACGGAAATGCATAGTCAGATACACAGGAAAGTCATTTAGGGAAAGTAATGTCTGTCTGCGAGAACAATGCAGCTTGCTTTTTTTTTTTTTTTTTTTGCTTGGTCATATGCAGCGTTGATTTTTCGTAAAATCTGATGATAGGTATTAAAGCAGTGAATTTAATTAGGGCATGCAATTATTATCGTTTCTTTGTTATAGTTATATTTTATCTGTTTTAATTTTTTACTTGACATTTATATCTGTCATTACATTACAAATGCACCCTTACTTTTACCATTTATATCCGGTTTTCTCTTTTAATTATCTGCAACTAATATTTAACAGACAAAAGCTGTGGCGAGTATATTTTTATTCTATGATGAAAATGACTGTATGAAAACAGTTACATCGCCATGTATTTTTATCACTTAAAACTCTATGTTGCATCCTATTTCATATCTTATTTTGTAGTTTCATCTTATCATTCATCTATTTTTATTTACTTTTTTTTTCATTCTCACTCACGTTCCACAAAAAAAAAACAAATCGATTTACCTACAATCTTTTCTTTTTTCTTTCTTTCGATTTACCTACAATCTTTTCTTTTTTTCTTTCTTTCTTTCTTTCGATTTACCTACAATCTTTTCTTTTATCTTTCTTTCTTTATTTATTTGTAGAAGAACAACGCACATACCTTAAAGAGTTTTGGCCTGAGGCGACGACACTCGGCTTTATTGGAATACTTCTTCATTTCGTTGAATCCCCAGCTGGTGGCGCCGTACTCGCTCTCCCACGTTTGGTAGTCATGCGGCGACCCGAACATGTGGATATTGTAATTAATTGTACCGCTGCCTCCAAGCACCTTCCCGCGAGGCCAGGCTGATTGCTGGAATGGGAGGCGGGGTTTGGATTTTTTTTTTTTTTTTTTTTTACCTTTTTTTTTTGTGTTTTTTTTCTTGATATTTCTACTCCTTTTCATTTTTTTTCTCTCTTTATTATTTCATATATATGTTGTTGTTTTTTAGTTTTACTTCGTAATGTTTATTATTGGAGGTTGGGGGATAAGTAGGATTGTATTTTTTTGTTAATTATAATTTGGTATATTTAAACAAATATCATATATTTTATATTTAGCAATATTTTTTTTTATACTACTCAAAAACTTAATTGAGGGAAATTTGCAATTTGTGTTTTTTATTGATAGTCAAGAATGAAAATTGACAAAAAAATTATTTATCGTTAACCTGAATTAAATTAATGGCACACAACCGATTTATCAAAGAAAATAATAATGAAAATATGAATAGAAAAATAGCGAAGTATATGAATGATTGAATGAAAATAGGCGAATAAAAAACAATCATGAAAACTATAGATCTCATTAATCTGCATGCATCGATATCCCATAATTTCTTTTATTTTTTGTATGTCATTTAAACAATTAATGGTAGCTCTGAAAACATAATTGCTTCTCTATTATTTCAAATTCCAAACTTTCAGTATTTAGTTATAATTACCAATCATTAAGGAAAACAATCGATTCTAAATGATACATAGCTTTAGAGTAACGGTCTTATAGTCAATAACAGGAAAATAATCTTTCTAATTGATTTTATTATCTAGTATGAATTACGACATATTAACATTAACATGTCTTTTTATGACATGCTAACTACCTGTTGTTAATAGCATGTTAATTACCTGTAATTAACCACATGTTATTGATCCAATATTGAATAGATTGTAATTAGTTTATTGAAAATATTAACTACATGTTCATAAATTCATTAACAATATTGGCTATATGTTGATTAGTTTTTTAACAATACTGACTACGTGTTAATAAATTCATTAACAATATTGACTACATATTATTAAACCTATTAACAATACTGTCTACATATTAATAAATTTATTAACAATATCGTCTACATATTAAAAAAAAATATTATTAGGTATACTGTGTACGCCAATTATCCAGTGGTAACAACGACCTCTTTACAGCCCCACAGCCCTTACTCACCCTATCCACCAGGGCCTCCGAAGACCTCTTCTGCGGCGCCGTCAGGTACTGCCAGTCGTAGCGGGACCTCTGCAGGAGCGGCGCCGCCAGGGGGATCCCCGACATCCACGGTTCCTCGCCCCCCGCCTCCACCAGCAGGACGCGGAAATTCTCCTTCTCACTCAGGCGGGCGGCCAACACGCTCCCCGCCGTCCCTCCGCCCACGATGATGAAGTCGTAGGTGGGGTCTGGGCGGTAGATGACGCCCGCGGAGGTTGCGAACATCGCCTGCCACGCCCAGGCTGCGAGGGCGATGACGACGCCGAGGATTCCTGGAGAGAGGAGGGAAGAAAGGTGTCACAGAAAGGGAATAGGAATTGAGTAATTAGATGCTTTACTCGTTTCTTTCTGTCTGTCTGTCTGTCTGTCTGTCTCTCTCTCTCTCTCTCTCTCTCCCTCCCTCCCTCCCTCCCTCCCTCTTCCTCTCTCTCTCTCCCTCCCTCCCTCCCTTACTCTCTCCCCCTCCCCCTCCCCCTCTCCTTCTCCCTCCCCCTCCCCCTCTCCCTCTCCCTCCCTCCTCCCCTCTCTTAGGGCGAATATGTGCTTATACTAATTATACAGTAAGGGACGATGAAATTTGAAATACAGTTTCGTTCGCATATATTGTAGTCAGCCAATCCTTATCAGTCTCTAAAGTACACGAAGAAAGAAAGAAAATATGTGTTTTATCTTTTCCCTCCCCCACCCCCCCCTCTCCCCCTAAATCTTCTTACTTCACTGCAACTCACTGCTACTGGGGATATTTCTGTACCCGGATACCTTAAATATTTTCATTTTTATTAGATATATATTTTTTATCTTCGCCTCTTAAACGATTTTATCTGCGAGGTCATTCCCATCAAATGCCTATCGCACATTAACCCTTTAAATTTTCTCTTATCCTCTTCATCACCTTCGTTATCTCTCTCCACCTGTTGCCCCCCCTTTTTCTCTCTCTATTTCTCCTTTTATTCCTTTTTTTTTACCCTCTACCCCATTCCCTCCTCCTCCCTGAAACTCATTTTAACTTCAGCGCCTCACGAATTGCCTCATTACAATGGTTTAATTGGCCTGATGTCTTGCAAATTTCCTCCAACCCATAAAACAGTACATTATGAGAACATTTTCTGGCCGTTACATCCAAACATGTCTTAGAGTTTCTTAGAAGATGGTGAGCTAGGGTTCGAAAAAGGATTTTTTTTTTTCTTAATCGACGAGAAGTTCGTTTCACGTTTATAGCCATAAGTTCGTCACTTAAATACTTTGTGGGGATTACACTTGCCTTTTTTTATGCGGTATTTATATATCGGTTAAATCTAGGGATTGGGGGAGCAAATTGAGAAGAAGAAGAAGAAATAGTAGAAGTAGAAGTGGAGGAAGAAGATGAAATAGAATTAGAAGTAGAATATGAAGTAGAAGAAGATGAAAATAAGAAGGAGGAGGAGAAAGAAGGCAAGGAAGAGGGAGAAGGAGGAAGAGGAGGAGAGGGAGAGGGAGAAGAAGAAGAAGAGGGAGAGGGAGAAGGAGGAGAAGAGGGAGAGGGAGAAGGGGAAGAAGAAGGAGAGGGAGAAGGAGAGGGAGAGGGAGAGGGAGGAGGAGGAGAGGGAGAGGGAGGAGGAGGAGGAGAGGGAGAGGGAGAGGGAGGAGGAGGAGAGGGAGAGGGAGGAGGAGGAGGAGAGGGAGAGGGAGAGGGAGGAGGAGGAGAGGGAGAGGGAGGAGGAGGAGGAGGAGAGGGAGAGGGAGGCGAAGAAGAGGAAGGAGATGTAGAAGAAAAAAAAGAAAGAAAAAAGAAACAGGAAAAAAACGTGAAGAACCCACACCAATCAATGCATCTAAAAAACAAACACAGAATTCTCAGATCAGACCCCCTATTTTCCCAATCAAATAAGCATCAAAAACAAATACAGCACATTTCCCATTTCAACGAGAACTAAACAAACCCTGCCTGCGGGGTTGTGAAGGGGGAGGGAGGGAGGGAGGGAGGGAGTGGACTCACGGGAACAGCACTTGCAGGGTGTCCCGTCGAGCTCGCTTACCCACCGAACCGAACGCGACATGAACTTTTGCCTAGAAATGTGTTCGTGATGTTTTAGGTTATTAATATCATTATCATTATTATTATTATTATTATTATTGTTAGTGTTATTATTATTATCATTATCATTATTATCTATTGTTATTATTATTATTATCATTATCACTGATATTGTTACTGTTATTATTATTATTATTATTATTATTACAATTAATATTATTATTACAATTAATATTATCATTATTACTGTTATCATTATTTTTATTATTACCATTATTATTATTATCATTATAACTATTATTGACAGTTTGTTGTAGCTTTGTCCCGCTCCTATATGAGTTCGCTATCATCAGGTTATGGCAGATATTTTTCTTTATTGCCGGATGCCCTTCCTGACGCCAACCCTCCCTATTTACCCGGGCTTGGGACCGGCGCTGACTTGGGCTGGCCACCGCGACCTCCTTATCATTATTATAATTATTATTATTATTATTATTATTAGTGTTGTTGTTATTATTATCATTATTATTATCTTATCATGTATGTGCTTCTGTGGATTTCAAATATGGACTGGACTGCGGATGGTTGTTTATTATATATATTCGAAGTGTGATTAATTTGATTATATTTCTTTCATATGATATATTGAGTATTAGGATTACGTGATATGAATATGGGTATTATAGTTAATACTGAGATTATACGAATGAATGCGATGTTGATAAAATGTTGAAAAAAATAACTTTGCATGTCCTTTT